GGGTTTTCAGTCCGAGTTCAAGTTCGCGCTGTTCAATTCCGGTTCTTATTCGATTATTACTTTAATACATGGAACAAACTGCCTCAGAAGGTAGTGGCGTCAAAAACCACTGCCGAGTTCAAGGTGAAGCTTGACGCATCCTGGGCATCAACCTTCCCGAATTGTATCGGACACGGGGCCTAAGGTCGCTAGTAGCTCATCCGTCTCCATCTTACCTCCTTTTATTGAGCTCTTTATCTTCACACTCCACTCTGATTTCTTCAACTCCCTCAACTACATTTTTATTCACTGTTCATCAAATTTTACTGAAACTGCTCAACATCTAGTACCACCACTTTCAGGTCATGTTTCTTCTCCAAAACACGTCTCTTACTCTGGGTAGCTCGGAGCGATGGGTTGCGAGCTGTTGCTTTGATCCTGAAAAAACCTTAGACGCGTTTTCCTTTTTCGGAACCACACTCCTTCACGTCTAAATGAACGAACTAACGCAATTTCCGCACCGCCGTGGTTCTCACAAGGTCATTGATGCAAGAAACTGGGCTGCTCGTGGCTCCGCCGCAAGTCCTGTAACCTGTCCTGTCCTGTCCTGTCCTGTCCTGTTACATGTCCTGTCGTGTCTTTTCCTGTCCTATCCTGTGAAATCCTCCTCTAAAAGGGTCTTCAAAACCCTGCTGGACTCACACCTAGGGCTTACCCTTCCCCAGATCTAATTGGCCTTCATCTTCTGGAGGACATCTCTTTTTCTACTGTTTGTCCCTGTTACCTTCTCGTCTCACACCCTCCGTTTCACCCTCTCAATTTTTCCCGATGAATGCACCCTTTACCCAGCGGCACCATATTGGAGCCAGCTCCCTTTTGCATTAACCTCCCTTTCAGCACCGAACTGCAGAAAAAAAGACAAATACAGAACCGGGATTATTGGGTGGGAGCCTCGAACCCGAGTACTGCTTCAAACTTCAAGACGCCGTACTTAACTCAATTCGCAGCGGCGTGTGCACAATTTGTGAGCATACTGTTTGAAGAAATCTGGACGCTCGATTGGCCGTGGTCATTATCTCTTCTGTGCAACCTGACCTGACCTGACCTGAATTGAACTGAACGTTTTTCATCAACAGGGTAATTCCATTGTGGAACCGATTGCCGCTGTCAGTGTCAAGCTGCAGTACTGTGAATGCTTTTAAAAAGGCACTTGATGAGTGTTCGATAGCGGTTTTCCCTGAGGTAAGCTTTTAGTACCATCTGAACCGTTAACATCACTGTTCAATCAGTCACTGTCAACAGGCATAGTGCCAGCCGACTGGCGCAGGGCTACGATTGCCCCCATCCACAAGAAAGGGGATGCAGCCAACATAGAAAACTATCGACCTATTAGCTTAACCAGCATCGTTTCCAAAGCGATGGAGAGAATAATTAGAAAAAAGCTAGCAGAGCACCTAATAGGCGCGCGCTTCTTTTCGAAAGCACAGCACGGATT